CTGGGTGCACAAAAGGGGTGCACAGAACCTATTGCTCGGAGCTGAGCTACGTTTGTGCCATCTTCAGAAGAACAAACTGTTCTTTTTACACACCCGCAACTCTTATTTGTATTTATGTAGGATAACGTGTGCCTTTAAAGGCTAAATGTCCTTCATACTGCACGGCAGAGTCCTCATGAAGTATTTGGAAAAATCCAAATTACTGCAACACATGTAGCCACACTTTCCTCTGATTCTGAAGGAAAAAGTACAACCACCCTTGCTCCCCACCCAAAGGGAGGACACTTCAGCAGCCCCACACTATAGATAAGGACGCTGCCAGACTTCCTCTTGGGAAAGGTAAGGTCTTGTTATATCCCAGAGACCTTTCAAAGGGTTCCATCTCCAAGCACTTCTTAGTCTGTTTTCACTGTGTGATTCCCCAAGGTTAGACATACTGCTAACCAATATTATTTCTCACCACCTCCAGCTTCCTCCAAGGGTGTGTGCCCCTTTTCACTGTGAATGTCAACACTAATATTCAAATTCCAAGGAAACAGAGAAAGACCCAAATGTCAAAAATTCTATTACCTTTCGTTTCAAACGGGATATTCAATATTCACATATGATTAATCATCTTGGAACTGTTAGTTTCACAAGAAATTATGGATTAGTGAGTCTGACCACACAGTAGCAACCACAGGGATGCCATCACACAGGTTTGAAAACTGAGGTCTCCGTCTTCTGCTGGCTAACATGTGTTGGAGTGAGTGAGAGGGATTGAGCCACAGCAAGGCCAGAAGTAGGAAAGGAAGGAGCCACATGTTTAAATCCTTTGCAGAAAGAGGGAAGCCAAGCCTATCTGTCAATATAGATCAGAAGCAATGAGCAGGGGACTCAGCCCTGGCAGGAATCTCAGATTCACAGCCAAACCCTCTTACACACAATGCCTGAACCAGACTGAGGCTGTGACAGACAGGGCAGGCCTTGCAGGATGTCAGAGCGCCAGGAGGCTGCAGGAGATGCTGGGCTTTCCCACACTGCCAGGCTGGCTGTTTTGCTCTTCAGGTAATTAAACAAGGAAGCGGGGCTGCTGGGTAAGAGCTGACCCTGCAGCCTTGGCTCCGCAGATCAACTTCCCCAAGCACTGCCTGGAGCATGGGTAGAGGGCCCCCCTTTCACTCTCCAGCATTTCCTCTCTCCACCCCTTCCAAAATCTTCCAAAACAATTCCTGCTGCCTACAAAAAGATCCCATCCATGCACGAATGTGAACTTACAGGTGAGGACCTCTCCTGGCAACCCAAACATCACTCAGCACAGGTGAAAGAGAAATTACCCGAATCACAGGGCTTTAGTAGAGATTCAGATACAGCAAACTCAGGTCGCACAGCAGTGTCTTCACCAAAGTCAGTAAAAGAAAAAGCATTACTCCATTGTGTTAATGTGCGCTGAATTGCAAGACAACTCTTCAAATTCAACCAATGCTAGTAAAAACGGTTTCTGATAGCCTTAGTTCACAGATGAAGCATTTCTTCTAATAGTAACTCATACAATTGTTTCAAGCTTTGATAATTGTCATTAATACCAGGAATTCACACCAAGAATCACTAAGAATTTTACTTAAACAAAATTCTTTAGTGTTTTTTTTATATCCACTATCACCACTGAGGGTCAGGAAGGTGGGAAAAAAAAATCTCCTAGAAGATAAGAAAGTCCCACTTGAAGTTTGTGTGCACACACACCAAGCAATGATTAGGCTTCCTACACACAATATAGTCTCCCTTCCTTCATTTCAAAATCCACAGAGCAAAATATTGGCTGTAAGAGACAGAGACCAAAAGAGGGAAGAGCACAAAAGCAGGCCTGCTTGTCTGTGTTCGACACAAAGAACATTAAATGAAAACAACTGGCACACTGCCAAATTCCTATAGAGGCAAAGAGATTCAAATAAATTGATTTCACGCATCACACTGACCTGGGATCAGTGTGCAACGCTACAATAAGCTCAGAGCGCCATGTGGGGCAGAGCTCATTAATGCTATCATACCTTCAAATATAACCACCACAACAAAAAAGGAACCCCAAATCAAATAAATACAGGCACTGCTTAAAAAAGCAATTTTACTTAAGAATGAACTTTCCTATTCTGCTACTAATACTCAAAGGTGTGTGAGGCACTGCTGATAGGCACGCTCTCTGCTAATGCAAACATGGCCCTGGAATCTATGCAATCTATGAAAACTGGTAGCATCTAAATATCCCATTCCATACGCAGGAACATGCAGAAACACACAGCACCCTGCATGTATTTCTTGTCACTCCTTCCTTTCAGCGTCCTGACAGCCAAGAGATTTTTATTTTTAATACACCAAATACTGTAATAGACCCATGTCAGAAGTGTCCTTAAGAGCTTATAAGGGCAAGTTTTTCAGGCAAGATACCAGTCCCACGGGCTCCGAACACAGGTACCCATCACAAGAGCACCTACTAAGAGAGAAGAGCTCCACAGGCACTCTAGGGAAGCAAGCACAGGCGCCTGCAGGCTGGCAAGCTGCATGCTGGGCATGCTCCCTGCCTAGGGGCGCGGCTCAGTGTTCCAGTGTGAGGCTGTCATGCCTATGGCCCTGAGGTTCACTCTGAGCACCAAAAACAACCATAAAACAAAACAGAAAAGCCACCAGAGTGAAACACAGCAGCATCTCAGCTTCTCCAGCTCCCACTGGCTGTGTGCCCCTGGGCTCTGCTTTCTGCCTCAGAGTCCCCACACAAACCAGACTCTGGCGCCTCCTCAGGCTGTTCGCACTCAGAGCGCCAGCTTTTCAGCTGGTAATTCTTTGCTTTGTCTGCTTCCAGATTACAACTCCAGGAACGCAATGGATTCCAGGTGCTTGCAAATGCAAAGGTTGTGCGGGGTATTTTGTTGTTCTTGGCTTCTTGGGCGAACTCGATTCTGAGGCTCGTATTTCTATCCAGCTATTACTATCACCAGAAGGAAGAGAGAACCAGGAATACCTCTGAACACGACAAGGGGAACAAAGGAAACCTGAAAGTTTTAAAGCATGATCATAGCATGCCTGTTAACGTCCATGACTTTCAAGGCTCACACACAGAGTGAAAGAATGCTGGGGTTGGGGGAGATTCTGCATGGAACCCACGTTACAACACATAGACACACTAAAGTGAATTAAGGAGCATGGCTTTCCCACGTTGCAGCAGTTCAGATCTGCCATGCCACAGAGGTATTCCATGTGACCAGAGGAGACCACGATGACCGTGGGATGGGTGGGCAGATGATGATTTTATATCTCTACGGGATGTACTCGAGTTTTAAAATCCAGAATCTTTTTCAATATTTAAGTACCACTTTAGATATTTTTGCCATATAATCTGAACCCCCATAGAGATAACAAGGCAAAATGCTGAGTTCTCTTCTGTTCTTAAATAGCTGCCTTGTTCAGATGCTACACACACACACACAAAAAAAAAAAACAATTCTAAATCAGGGGTGGGTGTTACTCTGAGTTACAGTAACGATCCGCACCTTTCTGTCCTCATTACTTTGTTTCCTGTGAGTTCCAGTAACCATCCGCACCTTTCTTTTTCTCTGAGCAGGACTGGAGAGGCCTAATCAACCACTCAACCACGGTTAGAATTGTCAAAACTTATGTCTAATATCAGGAGTCCACAATTAGGAAAGAAGATAGAAGCGAGAGAAATCTCATCTGGGTGACACAATTGTGCTCTTTGCCTTCTCCTCTGAATTGATGTCTCTCACTAGTCACACAGAAAGACAAAGAAATGAAGGAGGGACCAAAGGGAAAAAAAATACAAATAGATGCCAAATTGCAGAACTTCCCCAGGAAGGATATACAGTTCCATACGGGATTATTTTATTTTCCATGCTCCTAAAGAGACACTCATTTATCAACACTTTCCTGAGAATGGCAAGCCAGTCAGTGAGATCCCTGTGTAGCACACACCTGTAATCCTGCCACTCGGGAAGTGGCAATTCAGGGATCAAATGTTCAAAGTCCCTCTTGGCTAGATTGTCTCAAACCAACAGCAAACAAACCACAACCACCACCACCACCACCACCACCACCACCACCACAACAACAACAACAAATAACAAGCCAGCAAGTGTTCTGAGGAATTAGGAACTGCATGGAGCAGGGACTGTGTGGGACAGGGGCCAGCAGGAATGTTCAAAAAGCAATGGGCAAAGAAACTGAGTATTTTGCTATTCCTCTTTGCAGGAAATTAGGCAGTTGCAGGGTGACAGCGCCAGTATCACACAGCATTTGTATTGACTTTCAGCTCAATCTTAGCACAGCTTTTTCTTATGAGTGGAGCCTCTGATCAAGTCCATTACCTGGAGCAGAGCTTGCTACAGGGTCAACACCCCGCCCATGGCTCAGGGCAGATATTGCGAAGCCTCTAGCCAAGTGGCAATATATACATCATTTATACTTGGTGTTTTCCTAAAGTCAGACATCACTTTTTAAAAAATTTCTCTATAGATAAGAATTCTGCTCAGGAAGTGATGGTTACCTCAAAGGTTTTTTTTTTTTTAAATCAAAATCCATCAGAAGAAATCATAAACTGAAAACTACTTGCTTGCTTTTTCAGTCAACAAGCTGAGAAAACACCATTTTCTCATTGCATTAAACACAAAAATCATGGCATAGTTTCACTGTTCTATTCCAAGTATTGCTCAGTCTAACAGATGTGCTATGAAACATAGCAAGAAACAGAAAAAAATGGCAATTGATCATTTGATATCTTTAGATCAAAACTATTAAGCAGAATTCCCTTGGGCATATTGATCCCAACCCAAACCCGCACCCAGAGACTCCACACATAAGTGGTTAAAATGTTAACACAACTCTATCAACAGGTGCTAGAATAAGAAAGAGAAAAAGCTGCACAATTATAACTTATTGCAAGAAAACGATAGAGTGATTTTTCTGGCACATAAAGGAAATAATAAAAAAAATCAAAATATGTATCTGTTCCTTACCTTGGCAACCTTCAAAGCTCCCCTTTTTCCGGCAGTCACCTATCACTACACTCAGCGCTCTCCAAGTGTTTCTTTTCACAGATATCATTCTCCACCAAGCGCTCTGCTAATTTCCTCTGCTGTTCTGACTGGGACACAGATAAGCTCACCAGCCCACAGATCAATCCTTTCTATTGACAACAACAAAGGGGAAAAAAATGTACACATCACAACCAGGCTAAAGCATCCCACCCATCTCTTTACATGATAAACCAGGCCAGCTTTGTGCTTGTTTAAGACACAGATACAGGCTCTTCTATTTTGTGGCAGAATTCCAAACATTTCCCATTTCCTTAGTTCCTGGAAATGGTGTCCTAGAAGACCCTGAACCTGTCAATCATCTGACTCAAAAGTAGACACCCTCTGAATGCCAGAGCTCTTGTTGGTTTTAAAGTATGCATCCACCGATCCCTTAAGAAGGCATGTTACCCTCTGCCCATGTCAAAAGTAAAGAAATAACTGGTGAGGTATAGTTCCTTTAGAACACTCTTTGGTCATTCCAAGTTTTATTTTTTTTTTTTAAGTTAGGCTCTTTCAAAACAAAGTACCCATACATACTCTCTCCTCCCTCTGAAGCTCCAGCACTGTCATTATTGGCGACAGTTGTTGAAAACAATTGATGATCATGAAGAATAATCTTTATGTAATTGGCTACTTTTAAAAAATATTAAAGCAAAATATGGTATGTAAAACTTATAATCTGAGCACACAAGAAACTGAGGCAGGAGAATTGCCAAGAATTTGTATAATGAATTCCAGGCCAGCCTAAGCAAGCAAGCAAGCAAGCAAGCAAGCAAGAAAGAAAGAAAGAAAGAAAGAAAGAAAGAAAGAACAAAAATTTTGCTTCCATGTTTCCAGAAAAGAAAAAAAAAAGAAGAGAGAAAGAGAGGGGGGGGAGGAATGGGGAGGGAAAGAGGGAGCAGGAGGGAGAGAAAAAAGGAAGGAAGGAAGGGAAGGAAGGAAGAAAGAAAGGAAGGCAGGAAGGAAGGAAGGAAGGAAGGAAGGAAGGAAGGAAACCTTAGTTAAGAAAATTGTTGATGGACCATTCTGCTCAGCTAGTAAGTCTCTACTACTTTCTTCTATGAGATCCAAATTTTCTTATTTTTCCAGCTTGATTGGCAACTTTGGAATCAATCTTTCTTCATTTATTCAAACACTCCATTTTGTGCCTACCACCCACCTACCACTGCTAGAACCAGTAGTGTGAATCCCCACAAGACACAGTGATTTTTCCACTTAATTCCTATGAACTATAAAAGCTCAAGAAAGCATATGTACGGAAAGTAGAAATTCAATAAATGACAAAAGAATATAACTTCAGAAAAGCAATCTCAAAAATGATTATTATAAATGATGCTATATTTTATACTAATTACTTCTTAGGGATTTAAGTTGGTAAATACACTCATATTAACAGCTCCTTAAACTGTGGGCTTCAGCCTTATATGACTTCTGAAAGAACTCGAGTCAACATTTAACTAAAAGCTCAAATCTGCGTGGATTGACTCGTTTCTGACACTGTCTGCCCATGCTGTACACATGGCTTCACTGCAGCATTAGCTCAGCACACATGTGCCCTGTGTGCTGGGTATGTGTCTCTCAACACCAGTGACTGCGGCCTGAAACACCTCAGCTCAGGTCCGAGGCTGTGGCATATGAGGATTGCAGTGTTGTTACTGGACACATGGAGTTCTCTGATCATGTAGGTATGTCAGAAGGGTTTAATTACAGAAAACAAAGACTGCAAAGTTTTCAATGTGACTCTTCAGCATGTATCAAATTAGTGTATTCTTGGATAGGGTGAGCATATTGGGTTTTAAAAAATTGGTGTTTGAGTTGCTGACTTGAGTTTCATTTAAAAAAAATCATTAACTGAATTTTAGCTTGAGATAAGGGCAAACTTTTCAACAATCTCTGAAATGGCCCCAAACATTGTTTTGCCATTTTGTACTATGAATTTCTGCAAAGCAGCATTCTCAGTATTGATAATCATAAAATCAAAACATCGACCACCTCTGAAAAATGCAGAAGATGCACAAAACCTTGCAGTGTTAAATGCTCAGCCAAGATTTCACTTTTTATGTAAGCAGGTTGCATTAGTAACCAAATCTGTTTTCAATTTTAGCAGAAGGAAGAAGTACGTATCAAAGTGTTATTTTAAAATAAGAATCTTGCCAGGTGATGGTGGCGCGTGCCTTTAATCCCAACACTTAGGAGGCTGAGGCAGGTGGATCTCTGTGAGATCGAGGCCAGCCTGGTCTATTGGGTGAGTGACAGGACAGGCTCCAAAGTACACAGAGAAACCATGTATTGAAAAAGAAAACAAAACAAAACAATAAATTACATTCTTTATAATTTATTATCAGTGCTTAATTTATTGTGTATCTATTTTATATACTTACATATATAGACTCACATAAAAAATTATCAGGCAGAAGGGGTCATGAGCTGAAACAGCTAAAGTAGCCCTACTCTGACATAGTTCAAAGCCGTACTCCATCTCAGTATCTGTGTCTTCTATCTGCCACCATGTGGCTCTGCTGTGAGTCAGTGCTTGTTTCTGGCTCTTTATAGTCAAAACAAATAAAATATTCACAAAATAGGAAAAATGTGGTTCATATTCCTTGTTGGGAATTGTCTCAAAAAACAGCAAAGGCAATCAGTTAGAAACTGAAAACGTCTAATTTACTAAGAAAACTAATATTTTTATTAACAAGTAACAAAAGAAATACTTCAAATAGAAAGTAACCAAGATACATAGATATTTATAACATATTCCAATTATATAAATAGTCAAATACTGTGGGCGGGGAGAATACAGAAAGAGAGAAATAAATACAATTATAAACACTAAATAGGACTACATCTGGAGAATGCAATATATTTCCTCATGAAACCAACTTTGTCATTTCCCAATGCCAAGGCAAAAAATAGTTAAATAAATAAAAGTCAAAACAGAAGCTCAAAAAAAAAAATGGGGCAAAGAAGAAAGCAGACAGACTTTTTCTTTTAGATTTTAGTCGTGATCTACGAAATCGTTTTTTTCTTCAACAATCGTCAACAAAGACCTCAGAGAGGCACTGTCAACAAAAGATATCCACTAATGAGTCCTTGTGGGTCAGTATGGGCCACAGTTGACTGTCTTCTCTGAAGAAATGAAGCTAAGAAAATAAACCCTGGGGTTAGTCTGCCCCTCCTGTACACATAGACTTAGGCCAGTTTCTAACCAAAAAAAAAAAAAAAAAAATTTCAGTTCTGAGGCACATAAAATTATCATGTGAAGAAACGTCTGCGAGACAAACTAGATGATGGGAAACAGCCACGTAGAACAGAACACAGTGTTACATTTCTGAACCCCAGTTACAGCATCTATTGTAAGGAGGGCTCAGAAGATGAGTTAGCAGAAAGACAATGTTGCCAAACATTTCACACATACACATTTAGGATTTTGAAAGTTAGCAGAGTCCACATACACACACTCAAACGCCACAGAATGCAAACCTAAAGTGACTCAGCAGCAGCCCTTGCCTTAGATGGCTTAGATGTGAAATGCTGTACCGCCATCAATAGCATTTCCAAAGGAGGGAGGTAGAGGAGAAGAAGAAAGTCAGGGGAGAAGAGGAAGGAAGAGGGGAGGGAGGGGAGGAAGGGAAAAGGGAGGGAGGAAAGAAAGGAGAAAAGGAGGGAGAGAGAGAAAGGAGAGAGAAGAGAACAAGCTAGCTAATCTCTGGATTTGAAGTTTATATTGTATCTCATACACCTAACATATTAAAAACTCTTCCCAGATGAAATGGCAATAAAGGGAACAACAGCAATTAACATTATTACTAATATGTTCAAACATTTGTGTACCTGTTCCGCGTTAAGTTTCTATCACACATCCATGACAGGAAAACTTCAAAATTTCCCTTTATCTTTAATAATTTCCTTGTTCAATCCTCAGCCCTCAAATACACAAAACCTCTTCATGCGGTGGGGGCAAGGAGCACACACATCTACTAAGGAAAGTTTGAAAGCTGAGCTCCAGTAAGGGTAGAATGCCTCGAACAATTTGTAGCTCTACAAGAGTGTTATTAAAAAGGCTCAACGTGCTGTATTACCATGGAAATTGTGGAAAACATACATTCCCAAACAAATATTACTTTTTCTCAATGGTATGAAGTAATGAAAAGCACATGTTTAAATCTGCGATGTGTGCAGTAGTTCAAGCTGCAGCTAATAGAAAATACAGAAAGTGAACTCCGCTATATAAAGGATTCTTGTTACAGAAATATAATGTGAAAACCAGATGCAGACAGAAAACCTTAATCACAGATGGGAATGTAATCACTGGCATACAGAATACGTTTTTGATCAATCTTAACCATATGCTCAATGTATTTATTTTCTAAGGAATGCAATAACTTGAGAGAACCTTCTATTTGAATTCAGTTAACCTCATATTTATAATGCTTTTATCTTAGTCCCCCATCCCTTCAGTGTGTACACTGAGCCAAGGTTTTAAAAGGAAGAGCTGCTGGCCTTGGCAAATCACTCTTGTATCAGTTTATCTTTCAAAAATTTAATAGGATGTAAAGACTACACACATCCAAATCAGCCTCCGAAGAGATGAAGTGCAGCTGCCCGGTACAGTACTGCTCAGTCACTGCCTAACCACGTGCTCGGGCGTCTTCCAGTCACATCTGAGGAAGTTGTTCTTTGAGAAAATAATATATGATTAATTAAAGAACATTTACATACACTTCTTTTGTCTATCAACCTTGATTGGCAGAACGCTAACTTCTCTTGACTGAAAACATCTTCTAGAATAAAGGGCATACATTTATATGAAAAAGAAAATACAATTGACTTTTGATTTATGAAAGCAACCTACTGAAAGAAGACCTGACCTTACTGGATCCCCACATCTAGCAATGCTTGGTGTTCTCCTTGGGAGGTACTCTTGCCATGCCCCTCAATCTGAAGAAGATGGCAGAACTCAGTGACTCAACCTAGACCACAGACTTTACTCAACCTATAGCAGGATGCAACTGGACACTGCGTTTCACGGTGTCCCACGTCACAGGTCATGGGAACTGCATTTCAGTATTCTAGTTCCACAAGCTGCCTTAAGCCTCCGTGACAAGTGCTC